GAGGCGTGAGGAGTGGATCCAGACTCCACAGGCAGCCAACATAACTCACTCACATCCGTTCCCTCCTCTGTGAGCCCCACCTTCTCCTCAGCCAGCTGTGCTTTCCTGAAAACCAGGCAGGTCCTCCCACCTGCCAGGTCACCGGGCGTGCGGACGACACTCGGCAGGCAGAGGCGTAAGAAGCGCAGGATACACGCGGGCGGGCTAACGCATTCTCGGCAGTAGGCAGTAGACTCTGCACAGATATCCGAGGGTGGACACGTCAGCTCGGTTCTGGGCCCCTCACGTGGCAGCTCTGAACCTGGTTCCCACCTGGAAATCAGGGCGCTGCACTCACTGCAGATGCGGAGCGTGGGGAAGGGCCTGGCGCACCTGCGCGGACCTCCCGCTCGCCGACGGGCCGGCCGGGGCCTGGCTCCGGGAGGACCTGCTGCGTGGCCTCCAGGACCGGCCCAGGACAGGTCGCCCTCTGCCTTCAGCTCTGGATTTCCCCACCACCTGTCCCCGTCGCACAGGCCCGGGGTGGGCACAACTTAGTCATTTCCTAGTCAGGAGTGACGATATCTCATCTAGCCCACCTCAAAGAAATTCCACTTATGAAGCAGAAGTTCCAGTCTTTCTAAAGCGATTGATAGACAGGTGGCGTGAGAGACTTCTTAATCACGAGTCACGTGGGGTGGAGCCCTCCCAGGGTGGGTTGAAGTGGGAGAGCAGGTAGCAGTTCACTTGGGCTCATTTTCCAGTTTTTAAAATGCCATATTTTTCTAGCAGAATCAATTTTTAAGCTATGAACCCAGCTCTCACCAGACATTTTCCTTGAGGTTTGGTTTATTCTCAGCGTTACTGTCTCCCCGACGGGAAGCACCTGGAGACCATGGCGATGCTGCCCACAGAGGTTGGGCGAAGACGGGCACCGTGGGGAGGGAGAGGGTGTAGCGGTGCACAGGCCAGGGCTGGTGCCACCGTTCCACCTGTCACACGTGAACCTGAAAAAAAGTGTAAAGCCTGGTGTAGCCCTCCTAACAGTGCCGGCGAGAGCGTACCTGGTGTCGCCTGCGGGAAGGCATCTGGCAATAGTTTCCAGAGTTTAAAATGCCATACAGGGGCCCGCAGTCCTACTTGTAGGAATTTAACCCACAGGTTTACTTGTGTGCAAAGTGACATTGTACTGATGGGCACTGCAGCAGCCTCTGTAATGTCAGAACATTAGAAAACAGCCCAAGGGAAGAGGGGATCGCTGCATGTGTACAACGGGGCCATGTGAAAAGCGTGCCTATGATTTCACAGAAGCTCCTCGGAAGAGTATCCATGGGAGGGGCAAGCCTCCCCTCTGCCCTCCTATCAGAGTGTCCGGCTGTCCTGAGGGTGGAGTTGATAGACACAGCTCAACAGGAAAAGCATACACAGTTGATTTCACGTGTGCACGTAGCCGTCACAGGAACACGGAGCCTCCGAGGGCGTAGGCGTCGATGTGTGCACATGGGGTGGAACAGAGCACCCTGTGGGAGGAACGGAAGCAGGTGGGCAGCTGGAGGAAGACGGGGTTAGCTCCCAGTCTGTTGGGACAGATCTCTTGGCCTGGACTCCGAACTTCTTTCCCTCGACTCATATGGGGCTGCACTGCTTGCTCCCAGGAAACCATGGCGAGGCCAGGTGCCCTGCTGTGCCTGCTGCTTTTCAAGTGTCTTTAACGGAAAGCAATGCTGTGCCAAGGTGCATATTCTGGGCACGCATGTGTGGCCCTTCTGTACAGCCACACCGCCGCAGTGGCGGCCTCTGGGCAAGATGCCAGGGGGCTGGGGGCTCCACTCGCTGCCTTGGGCCCCAAGAAGACATGATCCCCAATCCTCCCTCCTTTGGGTTTGGTTTGGTTTCCCACAGCTTATCTAGTAGAAATTCCTGTCAGTTCTACCTCTCCTTGTTTTGATTCAACCACTCACCCCTTCCTCCCCTCCCCTCTGGCACCCCGTCAAAGCCGTCATCCCTCCACAGGACCGCTGAAGTGCCCACAGGACTGATGACCCTCCTTCCACTCTTGGCTCTTTCCAATCTATCCTCCATCCAGTGGCCAGTGGCATCTTTCAGAGATGACCCCTCCTCGGCTTTCTATGGAAACCAAAATGAAGCTCAATGGGCCTACCAGCCTCAAGGCCCCATGACCTGAGCACCCCCACTTTCCAGCTTTGTGTCAGTCATACTGCTCTCTTTTCTCCCTCCCTACCTTGGCTCCGAATGGAATGCTCTCTTTCCCTGAAATGTGTTCTCCCAGCTTGTCAACGCTGCCCCTGCCCATCCTCCAATTCTCAGCTTTTCTAAAATATGCCCCAAGTTCCTCTCTGCCTTATCACCAGGCACCCTGGTTCCCCCTCTCAGCACCCATCACAATTTGTAATCATTTATTGGTTGTCATGTTTGTGTGCCAGCCATCTTCCCCTACTGGACTGCAGTCCCGTGAGAATAGGGTTCTTGCTTATCTTGTCCCGCCCTCTATCCCCACACTTGGCTCAGATCCTGGCAGGTAGTAGGTGCTGAGTCCATAGCTGTTGAGTTGATAAACGTCTGGATGGATGAGTGAAGCTGTAAATGAGTCCGTGTTGAAGTGGCTCTGAAGGAGGGTTGAGGGCCAGGTCCAGTGGAGGCAGGAGAGGCGGAGAGCCAGCTGTTCCCAGCAGGCTATTCCGAGAAGTGAGACCTTTGGCTTGTCCTCAGGAGAAATAGTTCAGGAATGGCTTGTCCTGGACAGTAGTGGGACAAGCCCATGGTGACCCTTGGCCCGCATGGACCAATCGCATTGGACACAGAAGCCAGATAGCTCACGCAGGGCCTGTTTTCTCCTGTGTCCTCCTCCCTGCTCCCCAAGGTGAGCAGGAAATGTGGCTCCAGTCTTTGGTGAGATTCTTGTCTCTGGAGCACTTTTAATTTGATTTACAAATTAGAGTAGAACCTCCCTTGCCCAGTTGTAAAAATTATATTGGTTCATGTGTAAAAGGGTTACAGTGGCCATCTGGTCAGAAGTAAAAATAAAAACAAAGTGAGCTCCTCTTTTGTGTAACTGGAATCGGCACAGAATTACCCTGAGAAAAAATGCTGGGCTGGCCTTATTCTTGGTCCATTCGGGCTCTCATCGTCTGGAATTGACTTATCCCCTCACTGATTTCTTTGGAAACATATTCCATGTGAGGACCCGCTAAGTCCTTCCTTGGTGTAGGAGTCTGGGTCACACCAAGCCATTGTCCAGGTCTGGAAAGCCAACCCTGAGCCTGGAAGCTTGTTGGCAGTGAGGGTCCAGGCTGGGCAGGGAAGAGGTGGTCTCAGCGGAGGCTCAGCTGCTCCCCCTCTCAGCACCCATCACAATTTGTAATCATTTATTGGTTGTCATGTTTGTGTGCCAGCCATCTTCCCCTACTGGACTGCAGTCCCGTGAGAATAGGGTTCTTGCTTATCTTGTCCCGCCCTCTATCCCCACACTTGGCTCAGATCCTGGCAGGTAGTAGGTGCTGAGTCCATAGCTGTTGAGTTGATAAACGTCTGGATGGATGAGTGAAGCTGTAAATGAGTCCGTGTTGAAGTGGCTCTGAAGGAGGGTTGAGGGCCAGGTCCAGTGGAGGCAGGAGAGGCGGAGAGCCAGCTGTTCCCAGCAGGCTATTCCGAGAAGTGAGACCTTTGGCTTGTCCTCAGGAGAAATAGTTCAGGAATGGCTTGTCCTGAACAGTAGTGGGACAAGCCCATGGTGACCCTTGGCCCACACGGACCAATCGCATTGGACACAGAAGCTGGATAGCTCATGCAGGGCCTGTTTTCTCCTGTGTCCTCCTCCCTGCTCCCCAAGGTGAGCAGGAAATGTGGCTCCAGTCTTTGGTGAGATTCTTGTCTCTGGAGCACTTTTAATTTGATTTACAAATTAGAGTAGAACCTCCCTTGCCCAGTTGTAAAAATTATATTGGTTCATGTGTAAAAGGGTTACAGTGGCCATCTGGTCAGAAGTAAAAATAAAAACAAAGTGAGCTCCTCTTTTGTGTAACTGGAATCGGAGCACAGAATTACCCTGAGAAAATGCTGGGCTGGCCTTATTCTTGGTCCATTCGGGTTCTCATCATCTGGAATTGACTTATCCCCTCACTGATTTCTTTGGAAACATATTCCATGTGAGGACCCGCTAAGTCCTTCCTTGGTGTAGGAGTCTGGGTCACACCAAGCCATTGTCCAGGTCTGGAAAGCCAACCCTGAGCCTGGAAGCTTGTTGGCAGTGAGGGTCCAGGCTGGGCAGGGAAGAGGTGGTCTCAGCGGAGGCTCAGCTGCTTCCACAGGCGCTTGAGCTCTGGATGTCCTCCTGCCTGGGCACTGGTGGCCAGTTCCACCCTGGATGGCCAGTTGCTGGGCACAGACTGCCCCGGGGATGGGAGGTGACCTTTGGCTGGTGCTGTCTCCAGCTGCGGCAATTCTGGAAAGCTGCCAACATTCCAGCTGCCGAGAGAATGGCCCTGAAGTCTGAAAGGAGGGGGCAGTGCCCATCTGCACACGTGTGGACTGGCCTTGGCCTTGTAGACATCAGCACCGGTCTTGCACTGTGGCTCTCGGCAGACCCGTTCCTGTCCTGGCTCGGCCACCTCCAAGCTGGTCCCTGGACAAGCTCCTTTGCCTCATAACTGAGAAGCCTGTGCTCAAACACGTTCCTCACTGTTAACTACAGAATGTTCAGGGCGGTTGCGGAGGGGCCTCCTGTGAGAGGAAGGCTGTCAGTGTGCGCGGGGAGCAACAAGCACTCATTCACCCACACGCCGTGGGGTGGGGCGCTGGCCTGGGGAGAGCAGGTTGGGTGCAGAAGTGCCTCTTAGACTGTGAAGCGCAGTGCAGCGCTGGGGCAGTGGCTTTGTTCTTACAGGGCGCTGCTCCCCCTCCCTGCAGGAGCCCAACCGGTTCCAGCTCTGCCCTTCTGCCCCCCACACCAGTGACAGCCACGCTTCTCCTGCCCACGGCCTGACTGTGCTCCCTCCCTCCAGGTGACACAGAAGTACTCCATGGTGCTCGTGCAGGGCCACCTGGTCTCCGAGGCGCTCCTGCTCTTTGGCCACCAGCACTTCTACATCTGCGAGAACTTCACACTCTCCCCCGTGGGTGACGTCTACTGCACCCGCCACTGCTTATCCAAGTGAGTGTCCACTTGCCCCTCGGACTCCTCCCTGAGCCCCAATCTCCTTCTCAGCTACCCTTCCCCCTTGCCCTCCCACCTTGTTCTCACTGTGGGTTTGGGTTTGGGCCAGAAACTGAACCATGAGATAAAATAGAAGAACCTTAAGGCACAGGCACTCTTGACCATGGTTCCCCAGAGCTAACATCTGGGATGCATAACAGTGGGGCAGCTCCTTGTGCCTCCCCTGGTGTGGGGACCATGGGACAAAGAGGGTTTCTCCGTCTGTCATTTGTCATGGAATCCAGTCCCATCAGCCCACTCGTTCGACAGCTTGCTGGCTGCTCACTCATGTAAGACATCAGCACTGCCCCACCATGACCAGCAAGTGCCACCAGCACACAGGCTCCTTGGAAAGAGTGTGAGGCACACTAGCAGCACAGGACAGAGCATCTGCTCTGGGGGGACTCTTCGGGGTGCACAGGGAGGGGTGTGCTGAGGAAGGGCTACTTAAGGAAGATCTGGGGCTTGCAGGGGGTGAGATTTGGGTAGAAATTTGAAGAGTCATTTAATCCCAACCACACCAGAGGTCTTTGGCAGGACATTCCGAGGATCTTTTTAAGGATCAACTGCATTTGGTCTGTTTGGGTTCAATCAGGCTCTTACTGATGAATTCTCTGTGCTTATGGAGTCCAGCTGTTGGGACCACATTGGCCATGTTTGCACTGTTGCCAGGACTCCAGCTGTCAAGTTGTATGTTTTCAGTTGACCATTGAGAGACAAGCCTGGGCTTTCCTGGTTAGCCAGGGCTCACATGATGACGAAGCCCCTCTTCGATAGCCCAGCGACGCTCCAATTAGCTTACATCGAATCACCTGGAAGGCTTGCTAAAGCAGACTTCTGGGACCCACCTTCACCCCAGCTTCTAATTTGGCAGATCTGGGGTAGGACTGAGATTTACCAAGTTCTCTGCTGATCCTGATGCTGAGAGGTAACCAGCTGAGAGCCACTGTTGTAGACTATTGACAAGGAGTCAGAGTCGGACCTGCCGATAACGAAGAGGTTTAATTCCCAGGTGTCATGTCATTTCCAGCCCCGGTCAGGAAGCAGGAGCTTAAGGAGTGTGGGAAATAGATGTCAGCCCCCCTCCTTTGATCGAGATTTGCTTTAAAATGCTTGGCATTTTTCTCTCTGATAATTTTCATCTTTTATTCATTCCAAATGTTTACCGATTGATGGGAGTCCTCTGTGCTTTCCCAAGGCAGGAGAAGCATAACTAATACTTGGCACACACATCCCATCTCCTGGCTCATGTTTTATTGATACTGATCAATACGGACAATGGGCCTGCAGACGTGCCTTTCTGGGGGCTGATGGAAGCTCCTGCCCCCTGCGCTCAGGGCGAGCCCATGCGGTGACTCGCAGGAGCCGTTGCTTCACTCCTCAGCTCTGGTTTAAACCAGTCAGTGTTAGATGAGCTCTTATTGATCAGGAGAATTGTGTGTATGAGGTGCCCCTCATAGCACTCAGATCCACATCTACACTTTTAATAGAAGCCCACTTGTTAGGCTGCTTGTGCTCTCTTGGTTGGAAGGACCAGGGAGCCTTGCCCTGTCTGGAAATGGACTTTTCTAGAATGCATGTGAGAGTGGAGTGAGAACAAATGGCTATCCTGGACAGTCATTTGGGGATTGCCTGGGCAATGTTAATCACCGCCCCTCCAGAAAGGGTTTGCGAACCAGACGGCGCTCTCTCGAGGGCTGGGCTGCTGCACTGCAGTTCTCACCGGCTGCTCGATCCTGTCAGATCAATGGGGATTGAGTCTTCTCTTGCCCATGGAGACCGAGGGAGATGCATACATAAGCCAGTTAAAAATACAGCTAAGTCCACCCTGAAATCCACCCTGAAATGTTTCTCTAAAAGACGGTCTCAAGTTGAGTACGCTGAGCACTAGACCCTGAAAGCGGCTCTGAGGGTCCATAAAACACCGGAAATGAAACTCAAGAACGCGCACGCCCTCCAGCCGAGCACCCTCCGGGCTGTGGAGTGTTCCAGACCCTCAGAGCCTTCCTAGAAGGTGTGACTTTGCTATTACGGATGCCTTTTGGCTGATAGCATGAGGTTGCCAGGGCTGCTGTAACCAAGTACCAAAAACTGTGTGGCTTTAAAACACAGATATTGGTGTCTCAGTCCTGGAGGCGGGAAGTCGGCAGCAAGCTCTGGGAGGGCGCTCTCCCTCTGCAGCTCCAGGGCCGGCCCCTCCTTACCTCTTCTGGCCTCTGAGTTCCCCCATCCTCGGTGTTCATTTGCTTGTAGACATGTCACTCCCGTCACCTGGCTGTCTTCTCTCGTGTGTCTTCACAGGGCCTTTCCCCTGAGTGTGTCTGTCTCTGTCTGTTTCCCTCTATACAGGGGACTAGTCATATTGGATCAGGGCCTATCTTTCTGACTTCATTTAATTTTATTACCTCTGCCACTCACCTATTTCTAAATAAAGTCTCAGTCTAAGGTTTGGGGGGTTGGGATTCAACATATCTCTGTGGGGGAAACAATCTAACCCTCAGCAGTGGCGGTCAGGTTCAGAAGGTGCAGCCTTTGATTCATTTGGTGGAAATCCAAACCGTCCCATTAGCTCTTTGTAACTGGATAGTTCCTCCCTTCAGTCAGCATTTAGGCATCATTTCTCTGTTTAGTTCAATGCGACAAGTACTTACTGAAAGTCGGTCTTGTCCCGGGCTCTGTGGTCAACTCCAGAGATACAGAGACGAGCCAGGCGACAGCGTCTGGTAGAGAGTTTGTGGTCGAGCGAGTGATGCTGAGCACATTTCAGGTGTGAATTCTGACAATGCTTGTATGTTGGACGGAGTAATAATTGGTGATGGAGTTATTGCCATTCTCACCAGTGCCTTGGCCTGTGATGCTGGCTGGCGCAGCCACGGGTAGGCACCAGAGTCCCTCTGAGGCCTCATCGGGAGTCCGAGGAGTTGAGGGGAAGCTGATCTTCACCCTGGAGGGGGGCGTTAATAAGGAACACAGGGCCCAGGTAGCAGTGGGTTTCAATGAAGGCCTCCAGGCAGAAGCATCCAGAATGAAGCCACATTTGTATTTGATCAGTCAGTCCTACAGCAACATGGCTCCGAGCAGGACTCCTGGGAGGACTGTCCTCAGAGAGGTAGGAAGAGCTGCAAAGGGCTGGAACCCACGTCCCTGGGGCCTGGCTGTGCAGGGGGCTAAGCAATGGGCTCAGGCTTGCCCGGCCGGTGTGGCTCAGTGGTTGAGCATCGACCTATGAACCAGGAGGTCACAGTTCGATTCCCGGTCAGAGCACATGCCTGGGTTGCAGGCTTGATCCCCAGTGTGGGGCATGTAGGAGACAGCCAATGGATGATGTCTCTCTCATCATTGAGGTTTCTATCTCTCTCTACTTCTCCCTTCCTCTCTGAAATAAATAAAAAAATATTTAAAACAAACAAGCAACCAAAAAAACAGTGGGCTCAGGCTGTGTCCTCAAGTAACTCTCCCTTCTACCCAGTAGTGACCGTTCAGCATAGTAACAAGTCCAAGCTGTTAGCACTACAGACCCTGGACGCCAGCCCTGACCGTGGCTGGAGGTCCTGCAGGCCTGAGTGAGGGCCGCTCACTTGCTCGGTGGACATGGGACACTGAGGCTGGTGCAGGCTGGCCCGTGGCTGCAGCCGCAGCTGGGTGGCAGGAGGTCCTGGCTGCGTGCACTGGGGGGGCCCTCTCCACCCTGGGTCCTTGGGGTCTGGGGTCGGGGCGCACGTGCTTCTCGAGGCTGAGGTCCTCGGAGGCCTTCCATCTCTCAGGCCCTAAAGGGCATCTTCTCAGAGCTTCTGTGGCCCTGGCCACATTCTGAATCACTGCGGCACTCAGGTGAGAGGTCACTGTCCAAAACCAACACACACTCACTCCTCGGTGCCCTTAGAGTCGGTGGGAAAGCTTCCTGTGGCTGCCACGGCATTTCAGTGACTACCGTGCGCACGTGGTTCTCTGAGGTAAATGCTCACCAAATTCCCGGGCCTCCCCGGCCCTCCTCTGGACCTCGGGGAGCGGCTCTGGCCTGGCTTGGCCTCCGCTGCCACATGGCTGGTCCCTGGTTCTGGGCACGCTCCCGAGGCCACTGCTGAGGCTGTGGTCACTGCTCCCAGCCCACTGGCGTCGCATCCCGGCCCACAGCCCTTCGGGGTGGGCGTTGTCCCCACGCTGCCGAGGGCATGCCGAACCGGGCTTCCGGTGGAGTCTCGGCATCTCTCTGCCAGGTTCCGGAGTCTGACATTTCCCCACACAAGATGAGAGTATCCCCTGCACGCTCCCCCAGTCCGTGTGGACACTGTGCCCAGAGGGACTGCTTACTCGCACTCGTCACCGAGTGCCACCGCCTGTCCTGCAGGCTGTCCCCAGGCCCGCTGTCCTCTCACCTGGTGAGGCTGCTGCCCCTCCTACTGCTCAGGGCAGGGCTAATGAGGACGGTGCTCAGGGTTTACCAGGTCAGGGGGTGCCGGCACCCTGCTCGCAGCCATCCTGGAACCCCCAGGCTGTCCCAGAAACTCGGTCAGGGCTGTGGGCCAGGGCAGGACGAGCCCGCTGGACACCCTCTCACTGCATGTCTTCTTGTCCTTTCAGCATCAGTGATCCATTCATTTTCAACCTGTGCAGCAAAGACAGGTCCTCCGACCATTACTCCTGCCGGCGCCACAGCTACGGGGACCTCCGGGAGCTGCGGCAGGCGCGCTTCCTCCTGCAGGTACGCCGGCCGCGGGAAGGGCAAGGGGAGAGGGCGGCCCAGGTGCCATGGATGCCCTCTGAATGGGAGGGACACTCCTCCGGGACCCCCTTGGGTCTTCAGGAATACAAGACAGGCAGCGCCGTTGCCTCAGGGCGGAGCTGATGCTGGGAGCTGAGTGCCAGTCTGCCCTGTTCCGACCGCCTGGACCCCCTCAGCTGCCTGCCATCCCTCCCCACCCCTCCCCACACTCGCCAAGCTCCTGGTAATTCCCTGGGCAGAGTGATTTAGAGATCTACTGATTGTCCCTCAGCCAGGGTCCCTGGAGGGCTCACCCAGGCACTAAACAGAGCAGGCTCCTTTGGGAGGCAGAGCGGCTGCCGGCTCAGCACCACCTAGTGCATCCCCACTCCAGGGAGAATCACTGGGGCAGAGGTTCAGAAGCAACGGCTCAGTGGCAAGGGGAGGAAGACCTCTGGGGCCCGGTGGCCGCACACACACACCTGCCTTCAGCAGCCAGCCTCTGCAATGGTGAAGCTGCAGGGGGGTGGGGCGGGGCTTCAGGGATGCTGTGGTATCAGGACCCCTTGTAGGAGGGGAGAGGAGGGGAGGGACTGGGGCTTCCACCCTCTCTGCCGGGTGTCTGCCCTGCAAAGGCCAACAGGGGGCAGTGCTTCACCTGAAGAAGGAGTAAGAGTGCTTTCCATTGTAAATTTCTTAGGGTGTGTAATTCAGCTCAGGGAGGCCTGGGGGGAGGGAGGGGTGACTCATTTAAAAAGTATCAGAAAGGATCGGGTCCTGCTGAGGAGGGCCCAGCAGGCTGCAGGCCTCTGACCGCTCTCCCTCTGCCCTGCCTCTCTGCTGCTTTTGCCCACAAAGGGCCAGTCCTCATTTTGCCTGACCTCATGCATTTCTTTGCAAGGGGCTGAGTCAGAAGGGGCTGAGTTGAAGGGTCCTGGGCAGTGTGGCCAGCACTGCACAACTGGGCACCTCTCTGGGCTCCTGTTTCCTCTTGTCTTGTCTGCCATTATGTATACAGCACTTGGCACATATTAAATATCAAGAATTAAATTTTTAATGACTATCTATCTGCCTTAGAGGTAACACACATGGCAAACAGGTATCAGTAAGTGAGTTTCTTTCCCCCTGTATGCGGGGGTTGTCTCCAGAAGGCCGGGAGCCTGAGAATCGGGAGGCCGTGTGCACAGTGGGGACTGGCCACCGCTTGTCCAGTGCGGGAGTCTCCCAGGCAGAAGTCTGACATGGGCACTCAAGGCTGCGGGGAAGCCATAGCCCCTATGGATTCTGTGTTCATCATCTATTGGCACATTATTTATGTTTCTATTTATAGAGACACCTAGGCTCTATGTGCACCTGTAGAGGACAGGTTTGCACTGTCAGTACAAATGCGCCGTCTGCTCAGGAGCCCGTGCACTGACTGAGCACTGGATCCAGCCCGGCAGAAGCAGGACCTGCCTCCGGGTTGGACGCAGCCCCCCAACCTCCCCCCGCCACGAGTCTGACCCTGAGCCACCCATCTGTCCCCCAGGCCCAGGCCTCACTCCTCTGTGCCCCTCCAGCCCTGGCCCCCTCATCCCCTGTGTGGACTCGCTCTATCACTGCTCAAATCCGTCATTTACCTGGTGTGGATCAGATGAGAGGAGAGGGAGGCAGAGGCAGAGGAAGAGGAAAGGGAATTGTGTAGAAGTCACTTAGGCATTCGCTCCTTTCTTGTCCCCGGAGTGGGGCCCTTGCTTCCTGCTTCAGCCAAAGGAACTGGAGGTCCCGCCCTCCTGCCCATTCTGTGGAGCCCCCACTCATTGCTGTCACCGAGGCCTCCGTGCCCTGTGGGAGGCTGGCAGGAAGGGTTGCCTGTGTTATCCTGAATAAAGAGGTAAACTGAGGCAAGCTTGAGTGACCAGAAGTGGAGTTTTTGCAGGAATAGCAGAGGAGTCACCATGGGATGCGCGCTGTGCAAACTACAGGCGAGTCCGTTGAGGGTGTGGGCGCGGTATTCATGGGCCAGGAGCCACAGGGGTCAGATCCTGCCAGAGTCCAAGCGGCAAGTTCATCAGCTTGAGCGGAAGGATTGTGGGTGCATGTTCATTGTGAGGAGCTAAGTCTCCGTCTTCTCTGAATCAGATGTTCATGGGAAACCATCTCAGTTCTTAAGTTCCAATCTTCTGGGCCACATGCATGATCTCCGTTTCCTACCCTCTGGGTCCATGTGCGATTGCAGCCCTCTCACGGTGGCACAGAGACCCAGCGGCCTCTTGCGGGGACTCTGCTGCCTGGAGGTGCTGCTGTTCCGGGAACTTCAGGAGCAGTAAAAGGGTTTCTCTTTATAGGACATTGCCCTGGAGATCTTTTTCCGAAATGGATGCTCCAAGTTTTTTGTCTTCCACAACAGCGATCGGAGTAAGGTCTTCAAAAGGTAAGGGTTGGAAACTCCTCCTCTGAGCAAACTGACCAGGAGCTGGGGGCCGAGGAGCAGGGACTGCTCAGCGCTGTTCTCAGAACTGTCCTGGACCCACAGCAAGGAGTCCTCAGGTTAGACACCAGGAAGAACTTACCCCCAGAGCTGTTGAAAGCATAGAGAAAGCCTTTGCTCCATCCTGGGAAGCCGGCTCCATCTCAGGGACTGAAGGGGTTTAGGACAGTAATGACTGGAGGAGGAAAAATTGTGCAGACACAACATATTTCAGAAACTGGCGATTTAGCAGGCATTCCAGAATTTTCTGGCTTTATTTTCTAATTATCCAAGAATTCTTTGGCTGTATCTTTCCTTTTGATCCCAGTTGCCAATGTTAGTTGTTCTGACTTCACATTTCATTGCAAAGAATTCCAAACACTGATTTCCCACTTCTGCGCGAGCATATTTTCCCTTAAAGAGAGAAGCCTGCTGTTTAGTTTAACTTTTCTCCCTCCCAATAGATTAATCCATCTAAGCAATATAAACTAAGAAAAAGGTAATACTAATATTTATTTATTTTTATTACTATTAGAGTTGTAGATAATAGATAGAGATTTATGGGGAGCTAGAGGGGACAGAGGAAGGCAGGTGCCCAGCCGTAAACAGACCCCACAGGAGTTGGAGTCACAGCTGTGCTGTTTGGCTCCACTTTGGCCGGAAGTTGTGAGGTGAGATTTGACATCCTGACCTGAAGGCTCCAGGCCACGTGCACTCAGAGGGTCTAGCCTAGCCTTCCTGGTGGCCCTGGCTGGTCACTGGCACCGGGCCCCGTTGCTGTGGCCACAGGAGAAAACCAGTCCTGCAGAGAGGCTGTCTGCCCAGCGCTGGGCAGTCTCCAGTAGCTGTGAGCCTCCCTTTGAGGTTCTTCCCATTTGCCTATGTACGGCCTCCTGACATTTTCTTCAAGTTCCATTTTAGACCGAGCTGGAGCAGTGGGCGTGCGAGGCTGACCCTCACGTTTGTGTTCCCTTGTGATTCCTAACGTTTTCAGTTAATCTAGGAGTTGTGCGTCCCTAGCTCAGTGGTGAGTGGTGCCCCCCAGCACCCCGCCCTCCTCGGTGAGCCTGAAATTGAGATGGCACCTGTGCCCAGGGTACAGCCGTGCGTGGTGAGATTGGCAGAGGAGGAATCTAAGACACGTATTTTTATGGTGACATTGTTTTATTGTTATGGTTGTTATCAGGGCTGAGTGTGCGATGCAGACGTGCTGAGGGCAGTCAGAGGGGCACCAGGTCTGCTGCTCACAGACGGGGTGGCTGGAGGGCTGGCGGGCCCAGCACCCCATCCCTTGCCTGGCTCTGAAAATGTCTCCTTGGTGCTAGAAGGGTCTGCCTCTTGCTAATGAGATGATCCTTCCTTTTTGTGTAGCTTCTGCTCCTTCCAACCCAGCTTGAAGGGGAAAGGCGCCCCAGAGGAACCCCTCCACCTCAGGTAAGTGTGGGCGGGCCTAGCCGTGCTCTCTGGCCGGCGCTGGCCTGGCTCTGACCTCATTCGCCTGATCCTACTGTAAAGCTGTCATGCCAGGAGCACGCAGTCCGCCTTCCCCTTTATTGTCCCCTCTACACCCCCTCCTCTACACCCCCTCCTCCTCCTCCCAAAGCTCCTTCTGCCGACAGCACCCCTGCAAACAGCCTATGTGTCCCACGTGGTCTGCGGCTTTTCCAGACCAAAATGGCAGAAAGCCGTCTGCCTGTGGTGGGTGGGTGCAGGTTGGAAAAGAGGTGCCAGGCCAGGCCCAGCCTGGGCATCAGCCCTCAGGCAGGGTGTGAGCAATCCCAGGTCTGTCCTCCTGTAGGAGACTCTCAGAAAACTCAGAAGCTAAATGAAGGCACGCTGGTGTGCGGGTCCGACTCAGTTTACACTCTATGACAGGGAGCCTCCTTGCAGGGAATGCTGGGCTTCCAGACCTGCCTAGGCCGCCCTTCACAAGGACCCCGTTTCCCTGAGGCCGGGGAAACCATTCGGCGCGTTGTTAGGAATGAGAACGCAAGAAGGTGGTGGCTGGCTTTGTCCAGGAGTGTGGCTGGGGCAGGGAGGGATGTCCCAGAGGTGGTATTCAACTGACTATGAAATAGGGACTATGAAATAGGGACCCCAGGTCATTCAAATCAGTTATCGATAGTTTGTTATGTGTGGTGTTTGCTGCTTTCAGAGCAGCAAGCAAAATACTCAAACTCTTTCCTGTCCTTGTAGTCTCCCAAGGAAGATAGACAGAAAACAATTTACATTAGTGACATTGAAAGCACATTTGACTAGAGGCCTGTGCACAAAATCATGCATGGGTAGGGTTCCTAGGCCTGGCCGGTGATCAGGGCCAATTTGTGGGGTGACCGGCGGGGCAATCGGGGTCCCTGCTCGCACCCGCCTTAGCCTGGCGCCACCCGCTCACCTGCTCCACCATCCCGCCATAGTCCCGCTCTCATGGGGACCCATCAGGGCCAGCAGCACCTCCACTGCTGCCCGCTGCCAGCGCCGCATCACTGATGCCCACCATGTTCCACGCCGCCCCCTGGTGGTCAGCGCACATCTAACTCCCAGTCGGTACTCCTGCCCATGGGGACAGTAGGAGGATAGGTATAAAATAAAAGTAGATAGAAGTAGGGATTGAAATCTTAGGCGGGGTGTTAAGGGAAGGCCTCACCGAGAAGCAATATTAAGATTTGCACGAAGTAGAGAAGCAAGGTGTGCAGAGACTGGGCCGAGGGAGGAGCAGGGTAGGCAGGTGGTGGGCTGCTCCAGGTGGCTGGCAGCAGGGAGGCTCCCTGGTTCTGTCTGGGTCTCCCTGGTGCACAGTGGGATAAAGGCAGAGCTGGGAGGCAGTTAGGAGTGATCTGGGTTAGGAGTGATGGCGGCTTGGAAACGGGGTGACCGTGAGATGGGGTGGAGTGCCCAGGTTCTGGACGTTGTGAAGGAACCTCTACTGGCATCTGTTGACAAGTCACGTGTGGAGTAAGTGCCTGGGAGAGAAGGGACTCGAGGAGAGGCCCAGAGATCTGGCTGTGAGCACTGGAACGTGCCAGGGGAGGAGAAAGGAAGAGCGGCACTGGGGGTGCTGCTGGAGCTCCGTGTGGGGCCTGTTAGCTCTGACACGCCCGCAGACAGCCCGGCGGAATGTCATGTTGGCCTTGGAGTAGGTGAATTTGGAGTCCATGGAAAGGCCTTGCTGAGAGGTAGGTCTGGAATAGAATTTAAAGCATGAGACTGGGTAAGATCACCAGGAGAATGAGTGCACCAGGGCAAGAGGTTTAAAGATTGTGCCCTGGGGCGTCCAACCTTTCATGGGTAAGGACATGGGGAGGAACGAGCACAGAGACGGAAAGTTACATCCAGGAAGGCCGGTGTGGCTCAATGGTTGAGCAGTGATCCATGAACCAAGAGGTCACTGGTTCGATTTCTGGTCAGGGCACATGCCTGGGTTGTGGGCTCAATTCCCAGTGGGGGGCATGCAGGAGGCAGCTAGCTGATCGATGATTCTCTCTCACCAATGTTTCTATCTATCTCTCTCTCTCCCTTTCTCTCACTATAAAAATAAATAAAAACATATCTTTTTAAAAAAGAAAGGCAGGAGGAATGGCAGGTGTGGAATATTTCATGAGAGTCAGTTTGTGTTTCAAGGAGGGAGTGGTCAACTTTGCTTGATCAAATGATCACATGCTGCTGGTCAGCTAAGTAAGATGAGAAGTGACCGTAGCACTGTGTAGAACGCGGGCCATTGGTGACCTTCAAAAGACCCATTTGAGTGGCTGCCAGCAGAAGCCCCTGTTGTTTCAGGAATAACCCTTTCCTTGGTGGAACGTGTGGAGTCCAGCACATGCCGGGCAAATGTCTAGGAGGCCTGGGTAGCAGGGGCCGTTGGAGGCGGGGTGGCTGGTTACCAACTGAGCTGGATGTACTTCAGCAGTTCAACAATAGTGGAGCCCTAGTTGCATATAGAAGCTGAGTGCTTAGCCTTGGACCTCATATCACCTGTTTCATAGAAGCTTCCATCTCCACATGTGGACTTCGCTGCAATGTCCCGGTGACAGTGGTGGAAAGCCATTTCAAACTAACTGAAGCCATCACCTCACATACCTGACGGCCAGACAGGTCTGGCTCCAGGCGAGCTAGATCTCTGGGCTCATAAGTCCTCAGGACCAGTGGCTCCCTATCTCACAGTGGGGGTTTCCTGGGTTGGCTGTTCTCAGCAGACTCCCAGCATAAGGGCATCACCGCCCCAACAGCCAATCCCGCAGGAAGTCTGCCACACAAGGAATGCTCTGTCTCAGTAATTTTAGCAAAAATCCCCCAAAGTGGTTTTCATCTGCCCCAATTAGGTTAGTACCCATTCCAGAACCAACCAAGTGCTTTCATAGGCCTGGGCAGGGTCATGTGCCCACCCACATCCTGGGAGTGGAGTCAGTCCCACCCAATGATATAGACCACACTGAGGGGAAGTGGTTTCCCAGAGCATCAGGGTTCTGTTATCACAGAGGGGTGAATACTGAGGCATCAACCACAGGAGCTGGCCCCGCACTGTCCTGGCAAGCAGCTCCCCAGGGCCACAGCACTCATGGCTGCGTGTCCATTTTCTCACTCCCCGGAGCTACTCTCTTCTTGCATCAACTCTGACACAAGTCACTTCACTAAATGCCTATTGCCTCTGCAGATCACCCTCTTATAAATGCCTTGTGTACAATGTCACTCAGTGATCAGGTAGCTGTCCCTACAGCTGGGGGTGGTTCTCTGGCCATTCCTGTTCTATTGTTCTCAGAGTCTGAGAGATGCATTGTCCCACCAATGCTTACCTCTATCCACACATGTAAGGATCTCAATCCCTGCCCCAGACGGAGAGGGAGTAGATAGAGGAGGGGCAGAGGAGCTCAACTGTGGCTATGGCACTAAGTTGGGTGTCCATACAAAAATGAGTGCCAAGTGGAAGAGTTCATTCTTGCCCTGGGGATGAGTTAAATGTGCAGAAATTACTTCTCTCATCCATAGAGATAACCCTAGACACCCACCTGGGCCCCAGCTGGCCCCTGTGGGACAGCTGGGCCCTGTGCCGATTGCATTTCCATTGTGTTAATATTTTCCTCATGGCCCTCTGAGGCCAATGGAGCAGGATGTTCCACAGCCACTCTGTGCTTGCCTGGCATCGCCCCCACACGGCTCCAAGCATGGAGACCTTTGGAAAATACAAACTGAGTGAGCTGCTGCCCAGCTGGAGTGGCTCAGTTCCTGGAGCATCATCCTATGCAACAAAAGGTTGCCAGTTTGATTCTTGGTCAGGACACATACCTGGGATGTGAATTCAGTCCCCAATCAGAGCAGGTGCAGAAGACAAGCAATTGATGTTTCTCTCTCTCCTCTCTCTCCCTCCTACCCTCCTTCCCTTACCCTCTCCTCCCTCACCCTCTCTTCCTTCCCTCCCTCTCTGCTGGGGACAGTACATAGTGCTCCAGGACATGCTTAGTGAGCTAATGGAAGGGGAGCTTTGACACAACGAGGAAGCCCCAACCACATGGTTGGTCCTAGGCACTGAGGCCACGCAGGCAGCCTGGGCTCATGGTGAGGCTCTGCTGCAGCAGCCAGCGTGGCCTTTGGGATCTAGCCAATTTGACCTCAAGGAGGTGCTTAATAAACTGTAATTCCTTTGCTTAGTTTCAGGATCATCTGCTGTGCATTTGGGGTGTTTGTGGAGCAATTGATTAAAAGCAGGTGGTGTCTATGCTGTGGGCTCTTCTGTGTCTCCTTCCCAGCCCTTCTCTCAACGGCCATGGGCAGCGCGCAGCCTTCCGAGGGCTCGGCGGCCATGGTTCTGTGCCTTTTTATTTGGGCTGCCAAGGGCCATGCACATCCACACAGTCAGCCTTTAAAAATGTCTGGCTGTGTCTTGGACACTCCGGTGACCACAAGCTTCTCGTTGCTGGAGAAGACATGTGGTCCATTCTGAGAGTTTTCAACCACCCAGGAAGCTTGGCCTATGCTGGAGGGTTCCGATCTCGGTCCCCGCTCTTGATGACTGCGCTAGCCCTCCGGAGGCCGGCCCCCTACACGGGGACCAGAGCTTTTAAGGGCCAGGGTTTTGCCTATAATTTCAGTGGCAATGGCTGCCCCCTCCCTCACCCTGAGCTGAATTGCAAGGAGTTTCTGTGCCTGGGTTACAAGCAGAAAATACTTGCAAAGTCTGGATGAGCCTAGAGCCTGTAATCCACCTGTGTCTCCCACAGCACAAGGCCAGACCATTCTGAAGGCAGGGAGGCGGCATAACCAGGCTCGCTGCAGTGCTGGGCTCTGCCACTGCAGGGCCTTCTAGCAGGAACCCCGCAGGACCCCCTGCCAAGTGCCTGGCAGCCAGAGCACTCCCCATGTTAGACACCCACCCACAGGCTCTGCTGCGCTGTGAGGGGCCAGTCAGGAAAGAGGAGGAATGGCGGAGTGACAGGGGAGGACAGCTAGCGTGGAATGCGCATGTGACTAACACAGCTATCTGTGCCCTTCCACAAAGGGCCGGAAACAGCTTCAAAGTTAAATATAAGGTACAATGAGCCTGGAACCATTCATTCGCCGGAGTTCTCTCAAAGGAGAAAAAGTAATGTGGTCAGGTACTGGGGTCATGCAACTATAGAAACAAAACCATTGAAACTGTAGAAGCAAAACCATTGGGCTGGCTTACATTGTTTTCCAAGGACGGATAACCAGAAACAGAGGGTTTTGAACTTTTACCCCCAGAAAACTTTCTCTTGGCACCGACTATCAAATTTGCCCTTGTCTAAAGTGTAGTGATACCAAAGTCAATTCCGTTTTTATAAAGTTTGAAGGAAGAGCACTACAGAATATAATCTTTTATATTGTGTCTCTGGAAAAGCAGGGCCCTAACATGTGGCCCTATTTCTGTACAGACATGTGTTTGGGATGCGCATGGCCTGGCTCAGTGATGCTGCTCCCCAGGGATCTCAGTTCATCTCGAGCCCAGGGTTAGAGAACTCAGAGACACAAGGCGAGGCTGCCCGCAGGCTCCTCCCTCCTCACGTCTTAAGATGCTCGGAAGGCCCCTTCCAGGGCCATGCTCTCTGATGAAGGCCGCACTCACTGATGTGTCCTCAGGCCCAAGGTGCCCTGGGCTGGAGGACACTGTCGGTTTCTTAACTGTTCTCTCAGTTGGATAGTTTACATAATAATGTTTAGAATGAAATACACTTTTGGGCACAAGGTTCTACAGTTGAGCGTTGTCAGAATTTCCTTTATAGATTATCTTTGAAAAGCAATGGAAGAACTTAGAAAACAAACCATAACCGGCTATAAAGATCTCTAAGAAGAGTATCTTCCAAGACAGTCACTAACACCCAGGCCCCCTGCTGGCAGCGTGGAGGCTAAGATTCAAGTCCACCTCCCCCTGCATTCCACAGCCCTCCTCTCTAGAGACCACGGGGCTGAGCAGCGCGAGGCCAAGCATGTGAGCCCTGCTTGCTTAGTGAGGAGAGCTGCCGCCCCTCACTGGGCGCATAGGTGTGCTCCTGGCTTCTCAGCAGCACAGCCTGGGAGGGCAGCTGCAGAGACCATGTGGCTCAGACCAGGCCCACAGCAGAATCGCTGGAAGGCAGAAACTCACTATTTCAAGGTCCCCAGCCACCCACCGAAAATCTGGGACATGGGTAAAGATGCCAGGCATTTTCTTTTATTTTAGCATCTTTCTCAGGAATCATGAAGGACACGATCAACAATGGTAGCTTAGATTAGGTTGGTAAACTGAGGCAAAGGGACTCTTTATCCTGAAATTCCATAGCTCGGAGGCTCCTGAGAGCTTTCAGCTTCCCATGGTCACTCACAAGCTAGCTCTTGACACATGTCCACAGATCTGTTTATTGACGCATCTAGCTTGTGAGATGATCTTTAACTTTCTTATTTTAAATTAACTCCGGAATCACAGGAAGTTGCAAAAATAATACATGGAGTCCCCATGAAGCCTTCATTGAATTCCCCCCAATGGTTTCATTTTACACAACTACAGTACAATTTCAAAACCGGGAAATTGTCATTGGTACAATATGTGTGCACAGTCTTTTGCCATTTTGTCATATATGTGGTTGTGTGCGACTACCACCATCAACAACAATTAGTTTTATCCCTCTGCCACCCCCTCTTCCTAAGACATGGCTGAGAACGAAAACACAATGAAGCACCTAGACCAAGGCTGGCGAGTAAACGGCACCTGCATGCCAATCACTCAATGGGCAGCGAACCCAGGAGCGGTGCTTGGAGAGGGCATGGAGGACAAGGGCAGTGGGGACTGAGTGTGATGGGGCAGAGAGGGCTGGCATAGCTCAGTGGTTGAGTGTTGACCTATGAACTAGGAGGTCACGGTTCCATTCCTGGTCAGGGCACCTGCCTGGTCGCGGGCTCAATCCCCAGTTGGGAGCATGCAGGAGGCAGCCCATCGATGATTCTCTCTCATCATTGATGTTTCTATCTCTCCCTTTCCCTTCCTCTTAAATCAATAAAAATATATATTTTTTTAAAAAAATATGATAGAGTTGTCACGACTAAACATTACGAATAGAAATGGACAGTGAGGAGTGAAGAAATGCAGTGTGCTGTCTGCTTCGGCTTATAATGTGAATAAAGAAATATGCTCCTCCCTCTGAACCATGGACCTCCATCGACTTTTCCATCGACTTCCATAGGACTTGCCGCCAACACAGAAGAGCCTTGATTAAAGCGTTTAAAAGCTTTGCTAGAGGTGGTTTTCTTGACCTTTTGTTTTAGGCAGTATGGAGGTGTGGGTGGTCCAGAAAGTTCTCTCCTCTGCGAGGACTGGCTCCACCACTGTCATTTCTGCCCAAAGATCTGGTACAAAGACGGACACTGTCCGAAGTGGGATTTCAGCTTGAGACTCACCAAGCCCAGGCCTTAGAGAACAGACTTCTATTGAGGGCTTCCCCGTGTGCTGTCCCTGGAGGTGCTCAGTGACCCTTAGGGTTGGGGTCGTATCATTCCCACATTACAGAGGAGGGAGCCAAAGCTGGGTAAGAAGCCCAGGGCAATGGCAAGAGGAAGAGCTGCCCTGAACCTAGCTCTGGCCAACTGCGCTTTTGATGTTCTCTCTGCCAAGGCGGATGGCCCTGGAGCCGGCCTTCCTCTGTCTGTCTTCTTCCAGTGTCTTCCCTACAGGTGGCCCAGCGTGAGCCACGCTTTGCCCTACGGGATGCAATCCCTGCACCCAGCACAGGGCCTGGTAAGGTACTTATTTATTGACTGCACCAGCCCATACCTGCAGCCATTCTTTCCTTCCTCCCACCAGAGACTGGAAGAGAATTGGGCAGAGTGAGAGGGGAGTGGAGCCTCCTCATTCACAGCTCAGGGCTTGCAGGCTGAGTGAGAGAAAGTGCCTAGAGCAGATTATGCAAACAGAGAGAGAGAGAGAGAGAGAGAGAGAGAGAGAGAGAGAGCACTGCTCAGAGCCCAGGAGAGCCAGGATGTTACCTGGGATGCTTAATGATAATACCTTCCCACCTCTGCTTTGTTCCCTTCCAAGGCTAATGTCCTCTGCCTCCTAGCTGCCCCTGACCTTTCAAGCTCTGACCCAAAGCAGCTCCACAGAACAAGCCCCACATTTGGGAGCTGGTGGTTAGTCCTGAAGTGCAGATAATGAAGCTAAGAGTGTGGCTATCTCAGCTGCTGGGCCACGGGACTACGGCAGAGGAGAGTTCTGGAGCAGAAGTGAGCTGTACAGCCCTTTCCCTACTCCTATACCTGCATGTGCGGGGGGTGCACGCCGAGAGACAATGACCAAGAACCAAGAGCCCTTCAGGCAACAAAACCACAAGCCAAGACAGTAGGGAAAGTACTTTATGGGCTTAGCTGAAAGCACTATTGCAGTCATGGGGTAATCTCTCAATTTTCTGTGGAAGCAGCCCATTGCCATCTTTCCTCCCTCCCTGTTCCCTTTCTGCCTCAGGGTCAGGGTACAAGGTCACCTCCATTCTTCCTGGGACTCCTTGGCCGTGGAGTTGGGCGCGATTAAATTGGTGAAGGCAGCCTTTTTCGGTGTCCCCGGGACTAGGCTCTTGATTTTGTTCAGCTTCTCTCGGGCCTGTTGGCATTTTTTCAGGCAAGGCCCACACAGATCCTTCGCCTCCACCAGATATAAGTTATCCAGCCTCTTGATGTTATCTAAGAAGACATCCGTCTCCTCCGGCTGGAGGAAGGGGTTTCGCTTGGTGTTGAGCTTCTTCAGCTTGGGGAGCTTGGAGATGCTGGTGGGGATGGCGCTGAGCAGGTTGTCATGGAGCCCGACCTCATGGAGCTCCTTCAGGGCACCCAGTGTGGTGGGCACACTGTCCAGGTGGTTCAGGCCTAAATTCACGGTGCGGATATTCTTAAGCTGGTTGAGTTCCACGGGCAGCCCGTTGGTGGTCAGCCTGTTGTTGCTGGCATTAAGGTACAGCAGACTAGTCATTTGGCCGATGGACTCAGGGAGCTTGTCGATGTAGTTGCTGTGCAGGTCCAGCCATCGTAGGCTCTGGAACTTGGAGATTGAATCAGGGATCCTCTTGAGCATATTCCGGCTAAGATCGAGCTCATCTATGTCATTGAGTTTCAGAATACACTTTGGGAAGGTGGTGATTCCCATCTTGCTCAAGTCGAGGCGTTTTCTCCCATCAAACGTGATTTTGATACAATTCTTGGCCACATTGAGGGTGATCTTCTTGCCCTTGGGGCTCTTCCCACTCTTGGCCATGTTTTTTAGTGAAGGATATGTTTGAAGTGTGCTGTTCTGGTTGGTTGGTGATCAGGTTGAGGAAAAAGTCACTTGAAGCTGCTAGAAGATACACTCTGATAAGAGAAAAATATCAAGTTAGGAGATGACACGAGAGTATTGGACTTCCCCCAAAGCATAATGCTTTGCTCTCTAACAGTTTAAAAGGAGAGAAAGAGGAAAGTGGAGAGAAATTAGGGCATCAGCAGAAGTCACCGAGACAAAGAACTTCAGTAAACTGCATGCCTTCCTCAGACCTCTGTTCCCAGATGTAAGTAAGAGGGGCTGCAGGAGGCTCCGTGTCCACCTAGCTGTGTCATTTCCTGGCTAAATAATCTCTCCAATGTCCTGGACTTTCAAATACACCCAACCCCTCCCAGCCCAGGGGTACATGTAATTGTGTATGTGTGTCCTCTTGGCTACCTACCACTTCCCAGACCCTCACAGAAACCTAGTCTTTCTTTAGAGTTATGTTAAGGTTGCCACAGTGTGTCTGCTGAATCCTCAGCAGGATCACAGCGTGGACATGAGGCGACAAATGCTTGCGGTGGATGGGTGGCCACGGTGCCTGCGGTTCCTCTGCTCCGTCATTCAGGCTCTTTCTCAGGAACCAAGTTCATGTAGCACATGAAGCGCCAGCAGCCAGGCGTGTGCGCCATCACCACGCTTTGCTCATCCGATAATCCTGTGTCCAAGGGAAGTGGGTGAAAGCTGCCCGCCCTGCGCTCCCTGTAAGCCACCAGGGCCACTCCTCTGAGGGTCCCACCCTGTGCTGGTCCTCCTGGACCACAGCCTCCTGGGATGGAGGGAGGTCCCCAGAGTCAGCCCGTGAGAGCATCGGTCAGCTCAGCCCTCAGCATCGTCAATGTTCTTCTGAGAAGCCTGGAGAGCAGAACCTCTTCTTTAGAAACAAGGATCCACCACATTCAGCCATAATTACTGAGCACAGCACCATGGCCAGTAGCATTGGAGTCTCTATATCACGTTGCTCTGAGAAACCAGAGGGAGTAAAGCAGCTTGGAAACAAAAGTCCGGCCCACTCGGGTGAGAGGAGTCAGTCCGCTCTGCCTAGGCCACCAGGAGTGCACCACCTCCAGGTCCTGCATGGACAGCGCGCTCCCAGCACGCCGGCCACAAAGGCTGCCAGGCGGCGGGAGAAGTAACTCAAAAGTGGGAGCAGCTGTGCCCCGAGATGATAGAAAGATTTCCAAGAAGAGCCTCTCTCTCTGGTCCAGAATAGCAACGGGGCCTGTTAGGTTCAGAGTGGGTGCGCGAGGCCTGGCTTTACCCCCCTGCCTCGGCCCCAGGCAGACCTGCATCGCAGTCAGCCAGGCAGGCCCGGAACCCGGAACCCGGAACCCGGAACCAAGGCAGAGAGCCATTCTCTGCCCACACTGGTCCCAGGAGGAGGTTGCCTTTCTCTCTCCTACTGTCACTTGGCCCTGGAGGCGGAGAGGGTGGCAGGAAGTGAACAGCGGATTTAGAAAACAAAAGGCCTGGATTTCTAACCAGAAGACCAAGGGCGCTGGCGGGGGCGTTGAGGGAGCCACTCAGTGTTGGGGAGATTGCACAGAGGAGGAAGTTTAATAAAGTTGTGCGTGAACTCCTGGATGCACCCTGAGCTGCCGGTGCACGAATGAAACCCTGAATAGGGTCTTCAGTACCTCGCCCCACACCCAGAGCCCCACAGCTTAGACTAAGCTGAGAGAGACCGCTGTGCAGGTCCCAGGCGGGTGCCTGGGTGGGACAGAGGGCCTGGCCCCACCAGCACCGCAAAGTCTCTGAAAACTGGAGGACATTGTAACCATGATCGCAGAATCAACAGAAGGGCAGAACGTGCGCCTCTGGTGCGGAATAAAAACATACATCTCCATCTCCATAGTGGCATGTAGATGTAGCCCTAGAGGAAGAGAGGTAAAGTTGTGGCACAGAAAAGTATTTGAAGGAAAAAACGGGTAAAACTTGTGAAATTTGGTGAAAGACATAAAATTAACTTGCAGGAAGCTCAGTGAACTCCAAGAGGATAACTGAGTTTAAAGAAATCCACATCCAGAAACATCATTAAACTGCTCAAAATTAAACAAAATGTTGAAATCTGCCTGAGAAAAAGGACACATTACCTTCAGAGAACGGCAGTGAGACAGCCCCTGGAGTCAGTAGAAACCATCGAGGCCAGAGGTACCACAAAGTTATCTTTTAAATTGCTGGGGGGAAACAACCTC